TCCACCCGCGTCACACGGTCTTGGCTTCAACCTCCTTGGGTCATTGAGGTACTTGCTCAGAGCGCTGGTTTTTCTATAGTGGTCATGGTCTATTAAATCAAAGCCTGCAGGTATGGAGAAGACTTTGAGACTATAAACGCAAAACACCCAGGCCATGAATTCACTATGAAATGTAGCACTCTGACTGCCTTATGAGCGCATCAGGTTTGCAAAGAAGAGTTTCTTTTTTCTAAGTGTGTTCACTATAGAATGAGGACACCTCTGAAAGCAAGATATGCCAAGAAAACACCTTCTTGAACCCTGCATGGCATCTGTTCAAACAGTCCTTGATTCTATGGTCCTTGATTCTATGTTGTTTCTCCCTCTGTCTCTCTCAATTATGGTATATATCATGATTCATCAATCTTATGTACGTCCTTCTTATTTGAGACATAATCTTCTTTCAGCGAAACATGTCATCCTTTCTCACATAATCTCTCAAATTACAATAAAAAAATGCAAGCGCCCTTTCAAATCGAGGCCCAGTCTCTTCAAATATAACTCAAACGCCTGGAATGCCTTCAGAACCTCCAGGGCGCACAATTTCATTCTGCATGTCATCTCTGCAGAGTTGCTACTCTCAATTCAAAATCCACACACCCCCACTCACCATTTAGATCTTATAGAATCTCAACCCCTGTCCTTGTCTACCATTCTGCACCCACATACCTGTATTCAAAAAGCACGGTTTATACTGCCTCCAGTGGTTCAGATTCAGAGGAAATTCAAACGGGGATGTGAGTCCAAAGCCCCAAATAGATCACACAAGCGACAAACATCAACGAATTATATCGTACATGTCGTCCAAAAATCCAACCTATCACGAATTCGACCTGCTTGAGGACCACTCTCCTACACTCCCGTCCCCCCCATAAGCGCCACCCCTGCTTTCCCGTTTGTTTCTTCTCGGCCTCGATCCGTCTCTCCGGACCAGAAGGGTCCGTGAGATGCGGTTGGAGTGGCGCTTGGTGGGTTGGAGTCTTCCAGTTCTGGTGAAAGGCTCTCTTCTTTAGAGGGCCACCAGGCATGAGGGCCAATGAGGGCAACCCATTCTAGGTTTTGCGAGACTGAGATCGCGTGTTTATACATCCAAATACATCCAAATACCAAGTACAGTAATATAGCTTCATGAAAGTTCAACATGGACATGGACATGACCTCATCCGAAGTGGGTTCACTGACCTTGCCAGCCTGGATGTCAATGACCTGAACCATTTCAGACCATTGTTAGCTGCCACAACTGGTGCACCAGAAGCCAGTCACTCGTCACTGGTGCCCACTTTTGTTGTTTTTCTCGTGGTCTTTGTGTTCTCCTACGCTGTTCGAGCCGCCAAATGGCCGGCGACACATGGGCGCGTCGCGTCGGCCGGCCTCGGTCTCCGACGCCGGGCCGTGGGAATGGCGGCCAAGTCATGCTCGACATACCCAGACACTCCATGTAGATATGCCGATCAGTTGGGGTGGTGCCAGAGGGGTCAATGTAGGCATATATATATATATATATGGCAGTCCCATGGAGTGTCTGGGATAGGTTTGAAGCATCTCAATTGCGTATACGAATGTCCAGTTGCTCTGTTGGCTTGCTTGGCTCGTTCTTTCTAACACTGGTGCTTCGAAACCATGAAGGATCAACTGCTTGGTTCTTCAAAACAAGTTGCCAAGTCCTCAACCAGGGAGGGGGTCACCACCGGTCACGACGTTTGAGGCAAACGCCATTTCGGAGACTTCGTTTTCGGTCGACCGGGTGCTTTTCGTTACGAACCCCAGCTCGATGGCTCGACCGGGCGGACCCGCAGCGTTGCATCTTCCGCTTTCTTCGGGGAGAGAGTCGTGGAGAAAGCACGCGCCGACCGCGCCGAGAGGACGTGGGTTTCGGATCTTCCCATGATTAGTTATAATTCTAATTCTATTGAGTTCTTGTTTCTATATAATAGCTCCTTGTTCCTAGTAGTAAGGCCAAGAGCCCCGTTCGTAGCGTCCTTCCGCTCCGACAGGAGCTAGAACGGGGGCCTTTTCAAGAGTTCGCCCGGGTGATGAAGATCGAGATGCATCCGTTCTCCTTTCATCTCCTTTCCAACTTGACCAATCTGTTATTGTACCAGCCTGATTGAACATCAAGATGAGTTCTCCAGCAGCCTAACGTGGATTTCATTCACAGTCTGTCACTTGATTCCCCACCTACTCACAAACGGGCCATGCAGCGGCCATGCAGCTGCAGTCGACTGGATCTGGGTTGGTGTTTTCGACTGCGTTTGGTGCCGCTCAAGCGGGACTGTCACCACCTCCTCGGGCAGGCACCCCACTGATTGGTGGGGTGTCCACTTGCTGCGAAGAAACCATGAAAGCAGTGGGTACCATGGCACTTGGATGGCACGGTCTTGTGGGAAACCTGCTATTCAATCAGAATCCCAAAAGCCGGTCTCCAATTTACTGCTTGAAGCTGATACTGATTGCCTGCAAACATTCGTGCATTCTTCAGGTGGAAAAACATATATTATATAAACACATATTCTTCGGGAATTAACTAAAGGCCTCTGATCACCAGCCATTTGGAACCGGACCAATGACATCTGAAGAGCTCATCCTACTGATGAACCGGATGTTTCCGATGATCCAGTCATCCCTCACGGTGCGCCTTTCACGGTCCACGGTGCGCCTGCGCTGAGTCTCGTGCGGTCCTTGCCGACCATGGTCTGCTTTGCAGAAACCAGCTGCACACGTTGCCCAGTATGGGGAGATCTGCACCCAGCTGCATACTTGAGAGATCGAGAGATCATGTCTCTGTAAATTCCAGAGATCCATTCACCTTGAATCTCTTGCATGAGTGGTTTCATGGAGGATCTCAATGTTAAGAAACCAAAAAAAATAAATATATATATATATATAATAATCGATCAATCTTTATTGCTTGGGCTAATCAAAATGAGCGCGCCTACACTGTAGGCACACTCATCCGAACAATTCGCACTCCGTGGTAATCCGTAATCCTTCAAATCCGATATCTGACGAAAAAATCAGGGCTTGACCAGCAAAACTTGTAAAATGCAAATCCTCAAACATCCAAACATCGTTATCATTAGCTCCAAAAGGAAAACATCCAAACACCCAACACGGATTTGGAAGCAACCAATCCAAACCACTGAGTTGGGGTTCTGGATTTGCAGTCCCGGGGCAAGAAATTGCAAACAAAGCTTGAAATGAACAACACACGTTCACTCACAACCACTTTGATATAGTGTTGCCCACCTCCACCCTGCCGCGCCACCCTGATTTGGAAGCAACCTATCCAATCCAAACCACTGAGTTGGGGGCTCTGGAATTGAAGTGTGTGTTGGGGCTTCGTCCTAGGGGCCTTCACCCGAAGTCATCGATCTTCTAATAGATTCGTAACAACTGCACCAGCAGCTGGTGACCAAGGACACCAACAAACAAGTCTCCGTCCCAAAGTCACAAAACGGACTCTGAGTTCATCCATCCGCACCGCGCGACCAACAAGTCACCGGTCAACACCGATATAGTACGTTTGCAATCCGTAATCCAGTCCATCTGGATCCATTTGATGCCGTTTGATGAGGCCATCCAGTCCATCAGGATCTCCAGTCCATGTCCGTCACCCCTTCTTCGATCAGGCTCCTTAGACCGGCACCGGGCCAGGCCCCTTCTTTGACCGGGCAAGTGGAGCAAATTCTGCGCAAGTGTCTGCACATCTCAGCAGCAGGTATGACCCTTGGACCCTTGGGTCACTTCAGCGACCCCTGAGATCCCAAGCGTGTTCATCGGCAGTCACTCATGTCTTTTGGGAGGTCGGTTGTGTGATGGGAACTGCACTCCTTGGGATACACCAAGGAGTGCAAAGCCGGAAGCTAGATGTGTGTTCGCTTTGACTCGGACTCTTGCGCTATGAGAGGCTGAACAAAACAAACCACCACTACAAGACTCGGACATGGCAGTCAGTCGTTCCCTCTCTTTAGCTGGCGCCCAGATGGGTCCAAAGGCGCTATGGTTTGTGTGCGAAGACTGTAGCAGGATGCCTCCAGGCACACCTTTGAGAAACTTCCGGAAGCATCCGTCGGAAAATAGAAGCGGACAACTATTCTGGAGCTCCCCTTGGAATGGCAAAAGGGGTCAAGATGATCATTCTCCGATCTTCTGTTGTTTTTTGGTGAATAACTATGTGGATACTGCTCCCCCCTTTTGCATGCCGAAAACCTGAAGGAAGCACCAAACAGGACAGGAATTGCATGTTCTTCCTCACAGCCTTTGTTTTTTTCCTGGATCTATGCTCTTAACAACTACACCTATAGGATTACCTAGCGACACCCAGCAAAAGAACACATGTTTGTGAAAGTAAATATGGCTGGAAGTGTTCATGGTTCTTGATCACCTACAACAAGAGGCGCCTTCGCCAAGACTCGTTGGCAAGGCGGAATAACAAGAGGCGCCAATGGAAGAGAGTTGATGGTTTGACATGGTGAGGTGTTTTTGAACAAAAATCACCACCTCAAGGATTTGACCTGCTGCCTCTTGGACTAGGTCCAGCATTCGACCCCGACGGCAAGTTTTCACCTAAAATCTCATTCTCCAGAGGGCTCCAGTGGATAAGTCGGACGTATGCAGATTCTCCAAGGGCTTGTGCTGCAAAATCTGCAACGTCCAAAAATCAGGATCGATCGCGACACAGGTGGTCTGCGGATCGTAGGAAGCGTGGGTTTCAGACTGTAACCCCACAAGTGAGTCCTTGAATTGCCTGAGCAAATGACTCTGCATCAGCTATAGGTTTCTTTCTGAGTTTTGATATGTGTGATAGTTAATGATGACAATTATGCCTAACCATGCTGACGGCAAAAGTAGTAGGGAAGCTCCTTTGACACTGGAGCTATCAGCAAGTCCACACCAAGCAACCTGAGAACCTTCATGTTTACACCCACTTCGCCGTTGAAAGTCACCACATAGTTCTTAAAAACGTTCTTTTCGCGCAGAATCTATCCGCCCAGCAGTTCCCTATACAACCCTGACTTGGCTGAAGTTAGCCTTCCACTTCTGGCATCAGGTGCACCTCATCTTTGCCTCGTCAAACGGGCTTCTTAGCTCCCTCGACGTTCCCCAGCAAGCCGGGCAATTCGCCTCGTCCGCCCTTCAGCACGTCCCGCGGCGGCACGTGCGCGGAAGGCGCGCTCTTGGGCGCACGGGGAGATGGCATCAAACATCCTCGGGCCGAGGGGCAGGTCAGGGCGCTTCTTAGAACGGAGGAAGGGTGAAGGGTCTCAAAAAGAGCCATGAGAAAGAATCAGGGTTGATCATGGTTGATACTTCCGGGCGATTGATCAAGACTCTGAGGACACCGTCAAATCACCAGATCACATCAGATCGTGAGATCTCCCTTCATATGGAAGTCCCGTTTCACGTTCTTAGCAACGATGGTGATATGGTGTTTATGTAAATTATATAATAACATGTTAACAAGGCTTGGAGCGACTTCCGCGCGAAGACTCGATCTCTTCCTGCCTCGGGACGACGCAAAACAGAACTCCTCGACTCCAAGACCCCCTTTTCTGATCGGCAAGTCTGTCAAGTCCAGAACTCTCGGTGTCTGGATCTACTCGATCTACTCCCTGAAACATGTCTCTTCAAAACGTCCTCACCAAGTCATTTTACCGCGTGGCAGCAAACTCCCATGTTTGGTGCGTGAAACAAACCCGCTCCCGATCCCGTGTTTTGAAGTGGTGAAAGCATCTTCTTTTCGCAACCTTCTACAGATACCAGATCCCGTAGAATTCGTGCACCTTCTACATCCTTCGGCCCAGCTGAAAGGGATTGTTTTTTTTCGGCTGATACGCCGCCCTTGCGCCTGTCACGGTCATGGTTCGGTTGTCGGGTGGGGGTGGGGGTGGGGTGGCGAACCTAGCGATGCTTCGGATGCAGTTACTGGAAGAACGTGCCTCACTGTGTTTCCCCTGTCTAATACAAAGATCTGTCAATTATCTTCGAACATGAAAGGACATAAAAAGGACATAAAGGAACATCGGATTCATAACAAATCGAGACAAGGACAACCACAAGACTGAAGGGGTGTTTATTTAACGAGGGAGAACACTACGAACACGTATATTCTTGTGCATGCATTGCATGCGACATGGCTACTTCACATTGTTGCATGGGGGAGTTGTGAATGCTTGGTCGTGTCTTGACATGACTGAGTGACCCCATAGCAAGTGACCATCGGGTTTTCTTCAGACCATTTAATCATATGTACAACAGGTGCCCAATGATAACCGACTAAGTGGCTAAGTTTAAATGCCACAAGGTCCGAACACCAATTTGGGAGGCTCAGCCCATCGATTTCCATCTTTGTTGTTTGGCTCAACGATGTTAAATGCTGTTGCCTTGCAAAATCAAGGTCCATCAAACAAAGGTCCTTCATCCAAAAATAAGACAGGTCCATTACCAAAACCATCCATATATGGAATAGTTACTTATGTTAGGGGTATACACAAAGAATTGTATATGTACAACCCATTACAAAACGTTAAACTGTGTCTTGCTATAACGGCTATAACGGCTGCTGTAACTATTCCAATCCCATGGATGGTCAACAAGTTGTGCGGTCCCTCCTCACCCATCGGATCTCTCCAATCACTCCTCCCTCCTCGTGCCCGCCTCCCCGCCCCCTCCCGGCCGAGCGTCGAAAGAAGCACCTTTGAAGCCTGGACAGTTCGCCTGCCCGGCCCAACTCCTCCTGAGCGTTCGGCCGCGTTTTTGCCGCGGTGGCCGCTGTCGCCGTTTCGAACCCGACTCGTTCGAACCGTCGGAGCCCGCGTTCCGCCGTGGCGCGTCGCGACCGGGCGGGTTCAGGCGGTCCGGTCGGGTCCTGCGTCAGCGCAGGACGCACGCAACTGGAAGAGGGAAACAACGGCAACGAGACGTGGACGAAAGAAGCGAACAAATGACTCGTGGACAACGCGAACAACGCGAACAGATGCTTTTGAGTGGATGATTTGGAGTGCTTATTATATATAGCGACTCGAGGAAAATACCATGGCCAACTCGCAAAAGTTCATTTGTAATGCTGGATTTCATGTATACCAGCACCCTCCAACAGGTCACCTCCTGCCACTCTCAAGTCTTCAAAAGCCTACAAAGGAGACCAGTTGGCTGCAGGGTGCTTTGGTGCTGGTATATCCCATTACGAGGGCCCAGTGATGGTTAGCACTATGGTTAGCTTGCAGGCCTTCTCAAAAAGAGTGATCATCTTTGACAGACTGGGACGGTTTACTGGGACGCACGGACCGATGGGACGCAGTCGGACACCAGTTGAATCCACACCTCACGTCCTATTCGACCCAGCGCCGAGTCTTCGATGTGTCCATGTCACCGACGAAGTCTTCCAGCCATAAGGATCCCCTGAAAAACCAACGGTCATCATCCAGCAGCTCCATGGAGTAGGGCGCCGAACGAAACGGAGGAGGTCGGGGTGCCCGGAACATCCACTGACTGGATGGGACTAAAAAGCACCAGTTGGTGACTCATGGATGGTAATGATTATATATGGTATTTGTTGTCTAGTCGTCACAGAATGTTACAGACCAGTCTCAGCCTTAGACTAGAAAATCCAGGCCAAGCATCGCACACCTCATGGAATTGCCTCTTCAAGGCTCTGGCATGCACCGCTCGGACCTCACGTGTGAGCTGAAAACAACCCAGTGTTGGAATTCTGTGGAACGCAGTCTTTGAAACACTTGTCATTGGAGCCTAACAAGAGCATGACAATGAACCATCTTCAAACAAGTCCGCGAGGAATCTACTACCGCACTGCTTGGCTCGTTGTTGCTTTAACAAGCTGCCAAAGACAACCCCCGTAGCTACGGGGGCCTTTAAAAAGGTGTATTTCACCTTTCTCCGCACGTCACGTCCAACAGATTTCTCTGCACTGAACTTCAACGTCCCCAGTCGAGTCCAACTGCCTCTTGATCGAACCACTCTGCCACTCCCACCTTTTCTTGCATCGATATCTGCTGCAAAAGCTCCACAGCTCCTTAGAGGTGAACGGAACTGACATGAACAGCTCTCACAAGTTGTCGACATGTGCTTTCTCAGATCGGATCTCCCAATCAAAAGAGGTCGACGGTCCCTTTGGGTTAGTCCTGCGATTTCACTGGGGAAAACGTTGAATATCTTTTGAATCGGAAAAGATCTAAGAAGATCCTCCTGATGAGGAGAGCCAGCCAACCCGGGAAACGATCGTTTCTATCCCCAAATTCTCTGAGAGTTCTCTGCTCTTTTCAAGACTCGCTTTTCACGCTGCATGCTGCAACTCCCCGCATGGATGGCAGGGTTTTGACTAGGTTTGGGAGTGCATGGCTGGCCATTGCATGCCAGTGCTGCCCTGCATGGCCTGGGACTCAGACTCAACTATTGGGACTCAACCAGACTCTCAGTGGCCTCCTGTGAGATCTCTCTCCAGCATCATCCAGCTTGTGATAGAAACAGTCCTCTGTGCCGATTAAGTCTGCCTGTGCGTCGCAGCGCGTCTGGCGCACCACACGAGATCGCATGAGACATGGAGCACCACACGCTGAAAGCACGATGCCTGGTAGGTGGACCCTCCCGTGAGATGTGGTGTGAGTATAACACCAGAAGCGGGGTGAGACTCTCGACCGTAATTAGGCCCAGCCGATCAAGCTTGGCTGATCTGGCTGGTTGCCGGTCGCGCACGAGAACGCAGGCCCGTGTCTTGGATGCAAGTCTCAGTCAAGAGAGGTTTCGGCTGAAACTTCTCTGGGCGGAAGCCTTCCAGATGTAGCCAAACTTTCCGTCCCGGAAGGGAACCCTCATTGAGGAATCGCGTGAAGGTGGCCTCTGCAACCAGCCAACCAGAATGCCCAGGCAGTTGCAAAGTCATTTGTTTCAGCACTCGCGACTGAAGGGTTGGGTCCAGGAAACTCCTTTCCTCACGTGAACGAGACTGGAAGTGATTATAGAGTGAGACGCGGGATAAACAATGATAATCACAAATGTAATGGAATGGACGACTTGTTGGACTCCGTCTTAACACGTGAATTGACCATGCTTCTTTTTTCACGGTGGTTCGAAAGCTCTCTACCAGGGCCCCCCAAAAGAGATGTCTAACGTGACAACAAGTGCTATAGATGTCTTGGCGAGTCTCTGTAAACCTCCTGGCTTTTGACCGCACCTTCTCCCATTCGGAGGGTTTCACCAGCTTGCGCAAGCAGGGCATGGTTGATCGCAAGGCGGAAGGGAGGTCGCTGGACGGCTGCTCACCACGCTGAAACCTCACATGTACCTCAGTGACATCCTGCAGCTCCGAGTCAACATCCACGAGCAAGGCCATTTCCCTCAACTCGTCACAGAAACGAAGCTGAGAACTCCTTCCAGTGCTTCCAGAAAGCATCGACCTGGACTCCGCATGCAAGGATCGTGGCTCAACATGGCACTGAGGCAAAAGCACTGAAGGCACTGCATCGTCCGCGGCTTCTGGTTGCGGCCGCGACTCAGGATCTTCTTTGAATGCAATGAGATGGTAAGGATCCTGGGCGCCAAAAAGACCTATTTCCAGGGCAAGATCTGCACTGTGCAGCGGTGAGTCTGAGATTCCAAGGAGACAACAGCCAACAGCGGTCCCGATTTGAACCGAACAGAATGTCGACCTACATTTCATGACTCGACTCGAAACCAAACAAATTGATCTCCAACCAATTAATTGATATCCCGTTAAAAAAAAGGTATTGAATCTACTGTTTCTGCTATTGTTTCGTACTATACTGCAATACTACAATCCTGCGTGTGTTCACTTTCTTTGACACCCCAACGCCTGGAACAGGCACATGGTAAATATCCGCGGCAACCCGTATGCCTGCAGAGTCACGAAAAGACACCCGCAAGCACAGCGGAGGAGCACTGTCTTCAGTGTCTGGTGCCTGATAGATATCCTTTGATGCGTGATCACAGACTTCAACAAAGCAATGTCTTGAATCAATGGACCAATCAGGCTGATCGTGGCTGATGGGCTTTGCATATCTTTTTTTATGCCTTATCTTCGGACCCCGAAGATAACTCTTCTTGGATGTGAAGAAGCTGCACACCATGCATTCCTTCCCAAAATGGGTGTTATGTAAACAAATGTAAACCATGGGGTACCAGATTCTTCAAAGTGACCATTCACAGGCCTAAGTGCCTCAAACCAGGGATCAAAAGGTCACTTGGAATAACCAGGTACAGGTAAACACAAAAGAAACGTGTGGTCATGCAGCTACAAGTGAGCCTTAACCACAAAGCCGGGGTCACGATCAATCACAAACCAAGGCAAACCCACATATTCTGCGGGACGCAGCCCAGCATCATTTGAGGCCTCAATAAACTTACGAAAGCGAGTCAGCTGCTCGTCATCAACCAGCAGGTGTTCGAAGGACTTGCCTTTGAGACTCACATCCGTGAGTATGAGATGTCTCAAGCATTGGCTTTCCTGGTCCACATTCATCTGGCTGTCCAAGAGCACATCGCCATCACAAACACCTGGATGAAAGAATGAGGGGAAAACACTGGAAACATGTGTAGGCGGGAACGGATTACTCATGACTGCACTGAAACTGAGCATCTTACCCCCTGACATAGACACATTATAAAATGACAGTCGGCACCACTCTACTAAGCTAACATGGTTTAAGCCTCAGGACCACCCCACCACAAGCAACATGACTATCACCAGGGTAGAACTGTAGACTTCGAGTGCTCCCGACATGGCTCTGTCAAATGTTTCTGCTTTCGTCCCAGCTCTCAAGACTATTCCCACCTCTCAAGACCCGCCGGAAGCTCGAAAGCAAGGACTCGGCATCTGCTGTGTCCAGCTGTGCATAGATGCGCCCGCGAAGGCCCATATCGATGAACATAGAGGAAGCAATGGTTATCACCAAAATGAAGATTTGCACAAATGTGAAGGCTACCACTTGCCTCCAGAAATCGTCCTCCTCCGTCACACAAACATGTAGAAAGACCTCAACAACGGTGTAAAGCACTTGGAAAGGGATGGTCATCTTAGGATCCAAATGTACCAGCACCAGGCAAAAGCGCGTCGCTGAGTGAATACCTTGCTTCGTGAATCGAACCCAAGGGTCTGACCAAGCCGTAGAGACGATGCACATGAGTGTGCTCATGTGCGAAAAAAGGGCGATGAACTTGAGTTGCCGCCTGAGACGATGCACTGTCCGGCAGATGGAGTTGCTTGCAAGCTGGGAGATCCGAAACAGGACTCTTAAGTTGAGGATTGAGTCAACTACGCATCTACAGGGCTGGTATACAGGTCCTTATATATGCGTTTCATGATCCGGATACCGCGCGCATCTCCACCGATCTCCGTGGGGCCACGGATTGACCCGATCTCGGATGGGGCGACAAGATGTCAAGGGATGGGAACCTGCCAAGAGATCGAATTTTGCACCCTCACCAATTGACCTCGTGAAAGCCAAGTGTGTGGGCCAAGTAGACCTTGGACCTCTCTAGAGGGCCTCAAGTAGAGAAACTAAACCAACATCTACGGAGCAAAACAAACACAAAACAATGCGAAGCTTCAAGAGACCCGATCCACATACCTTCTGAGAAGGTAATTGGAGACTATTTATGTAGGCTTGGAGGGCTTCACCTTACGTGCTGTCTCCGGATCCGACCAATGAACACAAACGCTTGATGCTTCTGGCTTCCACTACTTGACCCGAACCCGCTGAGTGCGTCCAGACTGCGGGGTGAGTTCCAAATGATGCGGTGTGATCACTGTGAAGAACGCGTAGCACACCAAACCACAAATAGCCCAGGTCAAGGAGTCAATACCAGGGGTTGTCCAGGCTTGGTAAAGCAGGAGAAACCAGAGTGGGAAACACACATGAAGAAAGCACCGGCTGAATAACTTGAAGTGTTTCTTGCGAAGCTGAGCCATCTCTTCCTGTGGCAGGAGAAAGCGTTCAGAGAAGTTCAGAGGTCAAAACCTGCGCTGGTTGGATGGGATGACAATCATGGTCCACTCCAAAACACTCCACAACACTGGAAAGGATCAGGCCCTTTTTGGGGCTCCTGGCCTACCTCCTGAAGTTAGGTGGTTGGGGTGGGTTCGAGAGGTCTAACCACCGAACCTGAGGATATGCTTGGATCCCTAGGGACCAGGGAGGAACCTTCCTGTGATCTTTGGCAGCTGATGGTGTTTTCTGCATGAACCAGGTTCTCAACCTCTCCTCGACCCTGTTGTTTTTCGGGCAAACCAGAGAATCATCAGCTGATTCCCTCCGCTCGCGAAACCATTGTTGCAAGTCCGCCAAATCATTCGCCGCCAGCCGCCGCCAATGGAGCGGCGCCAAAACAAACACTACGATGACGATCCCAAACATTGCCCATGTTTCCATGGCAAACATTGCGAGGCCGCCCTAACACGCCCCATCCGAATAAATCGATGTTCAAGAAGTTGTGTTTGTCATTATGCCACTTTTGCTGCTGTCATTTGTCATGCGCACAAAACAAATAGTTGTTGATTTCATCATGCGCGCTGTCACTGCCGTCAGTTTATCATGCGCTCGTGTCCCGGTCTTTTGCTCGGTGGGTGGGTGCACCCACGCAAGTCTGAAGAGAGCGTGGTCAAGAACCCCCTTGATCATGATTCCCGACAGCAAAACCATTGGTGTTTATCTTTTCCTCCTCATGATCCAACTGCAGAACACGGCTTTTGGTTTGCATGAACCCGTCTTATACAAAAGTGCATCTAAACGCATTCCCAAATTGAATCCAAAAACACAATCATTTACCAGCACCCTCCAACAGGCTGTTAGTTGAGGGTTGTTGGACCCTAACAGGTCTCAATTGGTGACCTGTCGGAGGGTCCTGGTACAGGTATATACCGACCTGTCTTGCCAAACTCTCCATTTTCAGCCAAAGCACGAGCATCACTCAGGACGCTGCCTCCAGCGTCTTCTTTCAACCAACCCCTGACCTGGGTGGCGAGCCGGGGTACACTTGGTGGACATCAAATCAGCAGGGCAAGAAGGAGGCATCGTCATACGCCCAAACACCCTATGTATGGCACACCTAAACACATTGGGGGCCTTTGTGAAGACATTAGTAGAAATTAAGGACTTTGTTTGAAAAAGGCGCACGGTCCATGTGGCCACAATTTGGCAGAAGCAGCCAAGGTAGTGCCTTCTGCTGCCCCATGTCTAGACATGAAAGGTCCAACAAATGTTGGGAGGCTGCGACATGCATGGGATACGTCCACTCTGAAAGTGGGAGCACTCCTCAAGTGCAATATTTGGTTTGGAACCAGGTCAGTGGAATCAAAGCGCCAATCTCATTGGTTGACATACAATGATTGAAGCGTCAATGCCATCACCTGAACCCAGTGCCACGCTGTGAAGCCAAACGACGAGTCTCTGTGGTGACTCGTGACCGGCTGACGTCACTGTCGGACCGCGTCGAGACAACAGGGCTGGCATCGCCTTCGACCGGAGCAAGGACGTTACGACCGGTGGAGGCCATCGCGACCGGTCGAAGCTACGGACGCTCCGTCCCGGACGCTCCCTACGCGGTCCCGGCGTCCGGCCGGGCCGAGGCGGCGCGGGGTCGCCCTGCGCGGGTCGGTCCGGTGCACCAAGGAGCTGTTCCTCTGGCATCCGTACGTGTCATCCTGGGATCAGCGACTAGCAGGTCTTGGGCCAGGCGGGTCTCCAGGAGGCAACCTGAGCGCTCACAGCTGGAATCCCCTCCGTTGGGACTAGAAGAGTTGCCAGGCTTGGCTTGGCTTGGGAGGATTTGGTGTTGGTACTGGCTACACGCCACAGGCTACCGACTTGAGGCACACTGGATGGTATGGGTGTTTGCATTGTACACCGCCTAAGTCGAACCTGTATACTATGTCAGCTTCTCTTGATTCGACTCCGGCGAACAGGCGACAGGGGCGCCCAACAAGGCTGTTCCAGTCGTTGCAAGTCTCTGCACTACATCCAAGTCGAGGCTTGTCTGTGTACACTTAACTTCATCTTCACGTCATAACACCTAGCACTGCTTGTTCAGGCCATCCCGGCTGTTCAGATGGCTGAGGCCATCTTCTCTGGAAGCCCAGTCACGACGCAGGCGCCAGTAGAAGAACTCCTGGGATATCGCATGACCCATGGCACTTCAGAAGATTTCAGAAGTCATTTCATGGTTAAAAAGGCCCCTGATAGTGTACAAATGCATTCCGTATCCGCATCTATCCCCTCAAACAATCTCCTGCCTCGGTTGACTATCTGGACTGACGACACTGAACCGCCTATATTTGTATCTATATCTATTTGTGGTTTCCACAGGGTCAGTGTCGTTCCAAAGGCTTGGGTCGTTCTGAATCCTTTCGTTCTCTTATAGGCACTCGGCACGGATCTTCACCCCCGTCCTCTCGTCTTCCGCTTCGTTCCCACGTGGTGTCCACGGAACCGAACCGGAAGGAGTCAGCACGTGCAGGACCGGTACCCCGAGGGTCCGGCCAGGATCGAAAAGCCCCACCGGCAAAACACGCGGCAAGCGGAGGCTAGGCTGGCAAGCGGTTCCACCAAATGGCCACGAGTTTGGGTGAACATCGATAGCTGCTGGTTGCACCACACCAGCAATCCTCTACGTACCATCAGCCGGCGCATCGGCGCATCTTTCCAGCAACACCGCCGGTTTCGAAAGCAATTCCGCCGGAGAGCCCAGTCAGGTGATGGTTCCAAGTAGTTGTTTGGGGTGGGAGGTTGAACTCCACGGAGGTCTTTCTGCGGAGGTTCTGACTCCTTAATGATGTTCATCGAATCATTGTCATTGTATATCCTTACATATATGGTTAACATAATACAGTGTTGAAACTTTGATAGATCACAATTAATTATAGAGAAACATCCTGCACCAACAAGTTGTTGCTTTACAGCAAAGCCAGTCAGTTCTCCAGTGATCCAGTCTTTCATTCATGATTCTCATCTTGGATTCTAAAGAAAAGGGAACTGGAGACATCCGCGCTTCCTGCTTCAAAAAATCCACCGATCACTCCTCCACCCAATCCATGGCAAAACAGCCCGTTGGGCGCCCTCCAGTCTGCCAGAATCCTATTCCATCTGCCCGAAAGCTGAAAAAAACAGAATCTGCTCCAAGGCTCCCTACTCCTGCTCCACTGGAGTTCTTCCCTCACCACACCGACTGCCTTCATACGCCCAGCACGGTCGTGCAAGTCTGCAAACTCACAGGCCACCTGACCGCCGCGGCGTCAGCTGACAACGGCGTCGGGTCGACCAGGTCGCTGACCGGAGACACCGGAGACCGGGTCCACCCAGGGGCGTGAAGCACGGTTCAAACAAGAAGAAGAAGAACAAGAAGAAAAACAAGAGAAGAAGAAGAAGAAGAAGAAGAACACCGATGGGTCAATAATAAGAAGAAGAACACCGATGGGTGTCCAATTTCCCGCACGGAGAAATGAGAATTGGGCGAAACCTCATTGAGCTCACTGAGCGAGCTCACGACCTCAACGAGTCCATGATTTGGACCAAGCCCGCAGATCTGCACGAAGCATCACGAACCTGCCTTCTCAGAGAGGCTTATGAATTATATCCCTAGGGCCCTAGGGCTCCAAGTACCTTGTGGGAAGGTGTTTGGGGTTGGTTTAGAGTCCAGTCATACCTTCTGAAAAGGTACATGGTAAAAAAAAATGATTACACTCCTTGGATCTCCTTGGAATCGGCCATTGTCCACTTCCGTATATTTCGGATCCTAAGATCCTCCCAACTACGTACATACCGTTCTCCTGATGTTCATGGTGACAAAACATCAGTCCCCTCTCTTGGGTTTTTTCATGCACAGTGCATCCACCCACGCGCAGCTTCTGCACGATGCTTCTTGCTATACGAAGGCTGGGAGGTCCCAAGACCAGTCGATGGATGACTCAAACCCTGGGCCTGGACAGAAAAATCACGCGTGAATGTATACAGATCAAGGGACCAAGTCGCTTCCGGATTCCTGTGTTTGAAGTCTGAATCATGAAAAGCAACAATCACTGCGAACGGATGGAAAGGTGTGCCCTGGCCCCGTTCTAGCCCTTAGTTCAACATGAAGCTCGCGCGCTAAAGCTCCTTTTTACCTGGTTGGGCACTTGAGCCAAAAGTATGTGGCATGTACCTGTATAGCGACTATACTGGGACCTCATCCCTATTGACACCCCCCACATCCGTACTTCGACGGGGAAGGGAGATGAGTGGATGTAAAAACCGGAGAACGAATCGTGTTCTCAAAAGTGTATTGGAGGTCAACCAGTATGTCCTATTGAATTGAATTAGCAAAAGATTTTGCATTCGCTTGAAAGTTGGATCAAACAGGTAATGGAGCTACAAGCGGAAAACGTGCACCTACCTATGGTATCATGCGATTGCCAACGGTGTGAAACACAATCCTCTCTCACTCCCATGATGCCAAAACGGTCATCATGAATTACCCAAGATCCCTCAGTACTTGAAGTACCGGAAGTGGCATGTCGGTATGACCCCAATGCTCAACCATTTGTGAGTTGTCGCATGTAGTCAGCGCCGACAAAGCCAATGTAGTCCTTGATGAGCTCAACGTTCCTTGGGTTTCCCGCTCGGATCTGCTCCTCGAAGGACTTCAATTTCTGTGCTTGAATAGCGGATACCTCTATGCCATAATAGCGGCATGCAACGAGGATCTCCTTCGTGACATTCTTCCTCTCCGATTTGATGGCGGGGCTAATGTCGATGAACTTGTATGGAGCGGCACTTTCGTCATCTGGTTTCTGGTAGTAACTATACCGGCTCGCTCCGAAGGTCTTCCTGATCAAGCGTCTGATGAAATTTGAGATGAATGCCAGTTTCTCGATGATCTCATCCTGGGTCTCAGACTTTCGAGCCTTTGGATCACTCATGTTACGCCGAGTGCTGCCGACCTCTTTGAGGTACTTGTGGCTAAGCCCGCAGCGGATTGCAGTGATCATCATCGGGTGAACAACGTGGGCGTGGAATTCATAGATCTGCCACGCTTCTGCTGCATACACGTCGTCGGTCCATCTGCTCATGCCTACGACCTCGGCTCTCTGGAGACGTCTTGGAAACCCAGTATCCGGATCATTCGGTACTATCGGCCATCTATTGTGCGGAGTGTCATGCCGCTGTCCATCGTCGAACATTCGCAGTACATCTTCACGACTTTCAAAGCAGTTGATGTCGAACGTTGCGTTGGCCAAGCTCTTGATCAACTTCATCAACCTCAGATCAAATTGCTGTGTGACGGCAAAGTTGTGGTCGATGGGGATCGCAGCTTCTTGCGGCAATTCGTCAATTGCGAAGGGGAAAGGCTGCGGAAGTTCATTCCCATATCCATCTTGAGGGACCTCCCGATATTCGGGTTCGCCTTCAGCTTCGTCCGGTCGTTCCTTCAAAATGATAGGAACTTCCTCCTCTTCCTCTCCTTCGGATTCCTCGATCTCAATGACCTCTTCGGCTGTCTTGCGTGCGTTCTTGATGACTTCATCGATGTTTGCACCTGCAGCAGAAGTTGTTTCACCGGAAGAACTGGCTGGGACATCTTTCGGAGGTGACCGTTGATTGCGGTCCCTTGTCTCCTTGGGTACCACATGCGTGAGCTTCCCATTCGCGATCAAAACCGCTACGCAGTGCGGACATATCGTCAATCGCACATCGACTTCGCCAAGACAGTTAGGACACGGTCTTGAGTCATAGTCTTTCATTGCTCGGCGGTACACGATCTCCTCAAAGATTTCCTGCCACTCGGTGCTATCATATTCTGGGTAGACACCACTCTCCTCGATCATACCCAACAGCTTTGAGATTTTGGCGTCGTCCTCGGAGTAGGTATCGTCCTGAACCTCAACCGCTAAACTCTCAAGCTTTTGAAAGCGTGGAATCATGATCGGGTTTCCGTATTTGGACTCCAGAACAAGGTAGCTTCCAGGGTCGGGTTCTCCATTGAGTAACCGGATCCATTCGATCTCCTCAGGCTGTCCGGGTTCCGCATTGTCGCATTGCAACCATGCCCCTTTAACCTCATCGAAGGGAACGACGTTCTCAACCAATAGAGAGCCAGTCGCTGAGATGAGAAGTCCGTACTCCTGCAGCTTCCACACCGGAATGTAGAGAACCACCGGGCGATCACTCAATGCGACCTTACGACCCAGCCAAGGTTTTCCCTTGTAGCCCTGCTCCCAGGCCCATGGCGGAAAACATGTGAAGTGGATAGAATCCCTTCCCGATGAACCGAGACCTCCTGGCACTAGCCCTCGTCGCATGATTGAAGTCAGCGCTCCGAGATTGGTAGCGTGAAATGCAGTCACCATAGATAGGGCCATGTCGTTGGTCATTCTCGATCCAATGTGGTCGATGTTAATGGTAACGTCATAACCTCCGCCGTCCGTTGAGTGTGCCGAGGTTGCTCTTACGGCCACGGGAAAGCACCATCCATCGCTATGGTGGAGTCTTCCTTTAGAGATTCCCATGTCCTTGAGTTCGTCAATCCATTCCTTCTCCATCGGGTCATCAGGCTCATTGAGTTCATCAGGGTGAACGCGGACTGCCAACATTTGGAATCTGATCCTCTTGGTTATGCGGAAACACTCATAGTTCTGGTCGAAGTACTTCTCCAAACGCGCCTTCTTGGTCACGATATCTATGTTGCCATAGTGATAACCGTCTTCCCAAACTGCATTATCACCTAACAGGTCTTCCCATGACACCCATGCGCCTTCATCGCATTTGATTGGTGCGAGTCTTCCTCCTGTTTTGAACTGGCGTCCAATTCGATGTCTCAACTTCGCTCCCAATCGACGACTCAGGGCCTGGCTCGCTTGGCTGTATTCAGGTACTCGACAGTCTGGAGTCGGATACTTGTGATTGCCGTAGTCGGAGTTCTTTGCAGCGAAAGTGACTCCGTTGATCGGTACTAGTTCAACTTTCCCGACCATCGTCATGGGGTCGATCGGCTTGTATCCCTTCTCCCTCCGTGTTGGTAGGGGATAGAAGTGATGACATGCCTTTGGCGTGAGGGAACTGGAGTGCACAAATGCCTTCTCTACAAATTCGTACACTACTTTCATATCCCTAGGGCCTGCTTCCGCAAGCTTCCGCCCATTGTAGGAATGTGGTCCTCCTTCGACTCCATCAGCACTTTCGATCAAGGTGAATCCGTCATGGTCGAACATTGTCACGACTCTTGCTTTTAACATTTCTTTACGCTTGAACTCGCTGTCGACCTTCCTTTCCGGTGTAGGCGATGCTCTCTGCTTCTTCTTCTTAGGTTCCTCGGTTGGATGTCCAGATGGTACATCGTCGGGCGCAACCTCTCCCTTCACTCTCTTCTTCCAATCACTCAATACCGAGGTGACTGAAGGCGAAGATGAAAGGGTCTTCTTGCAACTGAGAGTTGTATGTCCCGACTCCATGCAGTGGATGCAGAATTCTGCCTGCCCGATCTTCCTCTCAAATTCGTCGATGGCTTGCAGTATTGATGTCTTCGGGTCGGACATGTCAACATCTTGCTCCTCCTTCTCCTGTCCACATTCCGTCTCCATATCGACACCTTCGGCCTCGGGCTGGTCAGTGGTTCCCTGTTCTGGTTCTTTCCCGATTTCGAAGAAGTGGTCGATGTCGAATTCAGGAGGCGGCATGGTCCTCATGCGCACGAGAATCAGCGCCACGTTTGCCGCCTCATCAGAGTGCGGGTCCATGGTTCTAATCATCGATCGCTTTCGGTTCTCATACGTTGTCCTGTCGTACAGCGATGCAGTGACGCGTTTGATGGATTCCTCTAATCCCGTCCTCAAAGCTTCGATGTCACCCCATCCTCTGAACAGGTGTCTGAAGAGTTGAGCAATTTCGAACATGCCCAGCAACGCCTCCACCATGTCACCTACCCGTTCCTCTGTGGGATCATCTCCGAATATAGTGCGGAATACATCGGGTTCCAGTATGGTCTTGAGGTATTTGGTGTAGCATACGTTGCCAAGGTCATAGGATCCCTGGTAGTACTTGGCGTTGCCGATTACCTGCTTTTCCACATGGATGCTGGGTCCTCTCCTCGTTTTGAAGAAGTTCTCCGTCATTGTTGATGACAACCTGATCCCCCCGAAGAACGAAATCTCCTTCTGGAAACCTGGATTCTCATTGAAGATGATCATCGCCTCGTGTAAAAACTTCATCAAGTCATCGTGCGGGTTCATCTCTGAGATTGCGATGG